TAGACATCTAGTTACAGGCTTGTTGCACCTTTAACATATGAGTTCCTCAGGGGCCTCTGAAAGGCAGGCAGGGTACTCACTCCCAACACCACACCTTCCACGTAGTGAGCGTTCAGTCTGTGCAGATGACTTTCTCCATGGATGATGCTATGAGGGGCAAAGAAAAAAAGTCACCATGTTTATTAGCTTCAGTCTCAAAATGTGATTTCATTTTCCAGAAGATATTTTCCTTACTAATATAACATCCTTTTAAATTACCATTTTGAGAAGCATTTAAAATTCATTGCTTTGAGCCAGTGATTCCACTTCTGGGAATACACCCTATGAATCCCAAAACACCAATGCAAAAGAATATATGTACCCTTGTATTCATAGTGGTGTTACTTACAATAGCCAAGATCTGCAAACAGCCTAAGTCTATCAGTAGCTAAGTGGATAAAAAAACCATGGTACATTTACACAGTGGAATACTACACAGCTATAAAAAGAAGGACATCTTACCTTGTGTGACAGTATGGGTGGACCTGGAGAACAATATACTAATGTGAAATAAGCCAGTCAGAGAAAGACAAATACCATATGATCTCACTTATATGTGGAATCTAATGAATGAAATAAACTGACAAAAAACAATAGAAACAGAGGCATGGACAGCTATTAGTGGAGAGGGGAGGGGGGACTGGATGAAAGAAGGTGAAGGCATTAGCTAGAGAACATATATGCATAACTCATAGACACAGACAACAGTGTGGTGATGGCCAGAGAGAAGAGAGAAGTAGGGGTGGTAAATGGGTGGAGGTGGGCAAAAGTGGGGAGAATGGGGGCATCTGTATTAATGTCAACAATAAAAATAAATGAATAAATTAAACAAATATATATTTTTCTCTAAGTGGTTATATTTCAATGGAAAAAGCTTACAGATGCATAGAGTACTTGCCAGTTTCTATACAAACAATACTCTTCCTTTTCTGGAGAGCTTCCTCCAAATACCTTCCAACCAACCCATAAGATTTTCCAGTTCCTCACACCCTAACCAACCCTCTGCATTATCAAACTTTTTATTTGTGCCAATCTGGTGAAAAGTGCTCTCCTTTATATATTTTCAGTTGAAGACTCATATGCAGTTGGGAGAAATAAGTGAGAGAAATCCCGTGTACCCTTTATTCAGTTCCCCTGCTAAGTAACATCTTGCAAAACAATAGTACAGTTTCAGAATCACGGTGTCAACAACACTGGCAAGATGGAGGACTTCCCATCACCACAGAGACCACTTCACTGCCCCTGTATAACTGCAAGTGCTTCCTGCCTGTCCATTACAAACTGGTTTTCCCTTTCAGTAATTTTGCCATTTTAAGCACGCTACATAAATAGAATAATACTGTTTGAAAACCTTTCACAATTGCTTTTCTGGAGTTTTTTTACATGTTCTAATTTGCCAAATATGTAATTTGCAACTATTTTCTCCCATTCTGTAACTTACCTTTTCACTGGCTTTAAAATAGGAAATATTCTTAAATTTTGATACATTGTCATTTATCAACTTTTTCTTTTATAGATCAAGTTGTTTTGGGGGTCAAGACTAAAAACTCTAGCCCTAGATCCCAAAGATGTTCTTTTATATTTTTCTTGAGTGTTATAATTTTATATTTTCATTTAAGTCCATGATCTATTTTGAGTTAATTTTTGTATGAGATGTAATATTGAGCTCAAGGGTCATTTTTACGCCTACAGGTATCCTAGCACCATTTGTTGAAAGGGCTATCCTCCTTCCACTGAACTGCTTTGCAATTTTGTCAAACATGACAACAAACTCACAACTTTCAACAAATGAATCTAAAACAAAAACAAAAACAAAAAAACTAAGCAAACAACTAGGAAAGAAAGAGAATCACAGAAATGCAGATCACATTGCAGGTTATCAGCTGGGAGAGGAAGCAGGGGCAATGGGGTAAAGGTACATGGAATAAGAAGCATAATTGGTAGGTACAAAATAGACAGGGGGAGGTTAAAAATAGTGTAGGAAATGGAGAAGCTGAAGAACTTCTATGTACAACCCATGGACATGAACTAAGGCAGGGGGGGCGCAGTAATGCTGGTAGGAGGCAGGGTGCAGGGCTGAGGGGAATAAAGGGGAGGGAAAAATGGGACAACTGTAATAACATAATTAATAAAATTTACTTTAAAAATGTGAATCTACAATTATCTTTAAAAAGCTTAATTAAAAATAACATTTGAAGTTGAAGGGAAAGTTTTGGGATTAGATATCAATGGTGGCACAACATGGTGAGTGGACTCTATGGCGGTGAGTTCCATACTTCAGAATGGTTCATTTGGAAGACTATACTTCCAGGGGTCATTTCTATAGTTTATTAAAATGGTGGATTTTGTTACGTGAATTTCACTTTAATTTTTAAAAAGTGATAAGATTATTGGCTGCAAGGTTCCAACCAACATTTTATACCATTCAAGTAAGGTTTTCGAAGGCTGTGTAAGAAGCCTCTTTTCATCATGTCATCTCGGAAGTTACTCTCCCTGTGCTGGGTTCTACTTTCCAGATCCCCCAGTGCTGGCTAGCTACCATCCTAATGTCTAACCTCTGAGGGAAACAGTTTTCACAGTGAGTCCATGTGTAGGCAGTTAGAGAAGTTTTCAGTAGACCTAATATTTCCTGGCCATCAATTTCTGCATGTCCCTTGTCACTCTGAACATCATTTATATTCTTACTTGTCTTCATCCTTCTGAACTAAAGTGCCCTGAACAGAACATTCTACTACGTCATGGACTGATCACTGCCTTTTCTGCAGAGCACACAGCCCTGGAACAATGTATTTTATCACTTTGCTGGCAAGGAGTTCACAGGTCTCTCCTAAATAAAAGCAACACAGTGAGTCAAGGGCAGAGAGTCTAAGAACTCCACACGACTTGCTGAATTTCTAGACTGTCCTGTACTGGAACTTTTTCTTTTGTACCCACTTTAATTAATAGCAGAGGGGACCAATGTTTAGATATGGAAAATTCCTGATCCCCAGAAATCTTGGGGATGAAATGGGGGTTCAAATTATTAAGATCTGCCTATAAGAAAATCAGTGTGGTGTTTGTAACACTACATTCAGATCACATCCAAATGGCTGACAAGGTTAGTCGGGGAAAAAACCCACACTTAGCATATTTTTAAACACTTTCTAGAAACAAAAAATGGGTCATTTACCTTCAAGTCATCTAACTCAAGACACCCCAGCCATGGCCACCCCAGTCCTAGCCCTGGCTGGTGAGGCTCAGTGGATTCAGCACCAAAAGGTCACCTGTTCAATTTTCAGTCAGGGCAGGTGCCTGGGTTGTGGGCTAGGTCCCCAGTTGAGGGCGTGAGAGGCAAATGCCTCACTCACATTTTGATGTTGCTCTCCTTCCCTTCCTCTCTAAAAGTAAATAAATTAAATCTTTAAAAAATTTTTGAAAAAGAAAATTACAAATTAGTCCAGAAAACGTGGCAAACTGAAGCCAAGCTTTGCATAGTGTCCTCTACTCTGCAAAGGTCTCTCCAAAGGTCTTTCAGCCTTTAACAGGGCAGAAATGGCTGGAAAGGAGAGGAGACATTTGCATTTCTCTGTGGATTGAACTCTTCCTCACCCCTAAAATCCTGGACAGAGACATGGTGAGAGAATAAAAGTTACAATATTACAACCTGGTTTTCATTCTAATTCACTGTTGTTCATTAATGTCCCTATTTGTCATTTCTTCCTTTAAACCTTAATGGCATGTCCATCAGGTAAAGGCTGGGTGTCTCCTATTAATGCATTTATCCCTTTTTCCCTTCACGTTATCATGAAGCTTCTTGAAGTTTCCCCATAGCGTGCTTTGCTGAATGTTTGCATTCCGAGGACACAACTGACGAATCTTCCATGAAACATGTCCTACCTTCCAGTAAGTTTGGGAAATACCGTGTACCACCTCTCTCCTCCAAAGTTATGATTTTTGTAAGTTCATTAAAATGTTGGAGAAGTCCTATAATAAAGAAGGGTGTTTAATTCTGTTTCTTAAACTTATTTTGGCCAGAAAATATCTTGTATGCATTTCACTTAATGGCCTCTCTGGAACACCAGTGCCAGGAATGCCGTTATAAAACAGCCTATGTGTAATGGCTGCGTTTGGTTTTTATGACTGTATTAAATGCGCAATCTCAGAGTATACCAGCAATTTCTCAAAAAGAAAATCTAGTTACTGATTTTTGTTTCTTTCCATGGTTATTTCTTTTGGCTTCTCTGAGGTGGCTCACACAGTCCGTAACACACACACCTTTCAAACTCTCCCCTGGGATTTCTTAATTCTTCATCAGCTTTGTGAACTAGGTGTCTCGACTTCCTTCTGCATACAATCCGCAGACTTCTAAGCCAGCATCCAGAGACCTGCACCATCCACACCCAACTTTCTCTTATATCCATAGCTCTTTCTAATCACATCCACATGTCTTATTTCTCTGTTCAGACTGACCCACCCACCATCCGACCAGAACATCTGGTGCGTCTCAGTGTGAGTATTCATGCTGTTCTTAACAAGACTGCTTAATCTCACAGATTCTGAAAGCTAACCTGGCCCTCCCTCGTCATTTTTTTTTGGTAATGTTTCCCCCTCATCTAGACTGAAAGCTCTATATGGACAGTAGCCCTATGTGTGTTTCTAATGACTAAAAATCCAGCCCAGCTCAGGACCTAATCATTCTTAGATGCCTGATAAAAAGGATATTGGGGTAAATGTAAATATTTTGAAGTTCTGTGGTACACATATCTCATTGCCTTACTTATCATTTTGTATTAGTGTGCACTGCTTATGTTGATAGGTGTCATTTTGGTTTGTGCACTGCGTTACAAGTTTATACAAGTTCTTCAAGTGCAGAGCTTGGGGATCATATGCACTAATAACACCCTCAGCAACTAGGGCAAGCACTTATACCTAATAGGCACTGACTAAATTTTGATAGATTGGCTAATTAATTCCAAGAACAGCAAAAGTCTCATCTCCTATGAAGCTTTCCTATGCTGTGGCCAATATTAACATTCACTTCCTGACCCCTTCCTAGGAGTTACTGTCCCCACAACTCACCTTGGTTTGTATGTGTAGATTTGTTTCATACTTATTTCAATTTTCTTTTATAAAGCCTGTAAATTTTAAAGGGTGAAAAATCTGTTTTTCATGAAGTTTTGTCTCCTACACAGGTGAGAACAGAGTAGGAATTGGTTAAGTAGAGAGAAGCTGACATGGTCACACTACATTATACTTTATTGTTATTGGCATTTATGGTACAATGTTATTACTCTAATCTTTTATGCAAATAAAAATGACACAAAATACATAATACACTTTGGTAAAATTAACCATACACAAAACACTGAGTGATTGAAACTATGTTACATGAATATTTTACAAGCAAAAGAACAGAGTACTTGAATAACACCTTCAGATGAAATTTGTCATTATAATTTGGATGTTATACATTGTTAAATATGGATACATTTTTAAAAATTACTATTTATAGGCCCAATTCTAAGATTTAAAATAATGAATACTGTGTAAATGAATACTTACAAAAATACTTTTAAGCAAAAGCTATGTTCTACTCATTTTACTTAGCAGTAACAAAAATATATATTCCTCTGAAACTCTAATAAATTTGCTTGAAGCATTAGGTATTCAAATTTAAATGTATGTTTTCTAAAGCATTTTATCAGCTTAATGTTCTCGACTTAATACAGTATATATACCTCAATGGTATTAGAATAGATTTGCATTACAAATAATGTTATTTCAAGTAACAAACATAGGCCATCATTAACACAGAAGAGACACTGAGAAGGTGTCAACCAAACGCATCCAACACATAAAGAAAGCCCAGGTGCTCTGCCTTCTGCAGTGATCTCAAATGCATTTGTTGAATGAATACACAAGTGAGTGGCATGTATTCAGTTATTTACACCCAAAGTTACCTCTACAAAGCTTTCTATTTCTAGTAGAGATATCATTTAAAAATGCAACACTTTTATTTAATCAGCTACTTCTGGGTAGCAGTTAGGTAAATGGATTCCAGATTGAGAAGCAAACTAATGTTGGTGAGCAAAACGAGGCTCTACCAGGAGCACTTACTATATATGGAGACAGTTCTGCTGTCTACAGAACAGACATGCAATACACTGAACAACTCCTTCTATCATATCATCATATGAAACAAGACATAAGAATCTAATTTCTATGTGTTACTATAAAAAATGAAAAGCAGCACATATAAATGCATTTAAAATACAGTTTTTATACATTAGTAGACTTAGTAGACCTCGGGTGTCTCTTCTCAGTGAGAGAGGCCAGCCGTCCTGAGAAGCGGGCCATGTGTCTGTGGAAAAGCAGATGGAGGAGGCACCGATTGAACAATCTTTCCCGCACATGCAACTTGGCAGTATGAATGCTGAGATCACTGTTCGAGGTACCTTTGAAGCAGTAACATTTTCCTAAAACCAAAGCCTAACCAGCAACATTTATGGAACGGCAGCACCTAAGAAAACTGTGGCGATTACATATGAAGGAGTCAGCCCGAGCCCATGCTTGGCACAGCCCCCTCTTGTAAATTTCCCCCACCTCCTCAACTTCCTGCAGGGTCAGACAGTCTGAGGCTTGTCTGTAAAACTTCAAAAAATTAGTAGAGTACAGAATATTTTCTTAATCAAGTTCAGATCATCCTAAACCATTTCAAAAGCTCTTTGCCTTTATATGTTAGCAGGGCACCTAAAAATTCATTCAGCAAGTTGGTTAATATATGTACATGTTAATGAAATAACTACTACTGACTTGGAGCAAGTAAGGAAACTATAATTTAGTACACCAATTCACTTCAAAGTAAGTTTTTTTAAATAAAGTTTCCGAAAGTTCAGAAATAATTTAGTCACATGTTAAAGTTAATTTCAAAATGAGTAAATACCACTAACAAAAAAAACCCATAAAATATAACCTTTAAAGTAAAATGTAAAGTAAAATGACTTAAAGGTGATTTATTTAAAATTTCAATATTGTTTTCAAACATACAAGTGAATAAAAATATGCCTTGGAATCTCATTAAGTTGTGCTATATAGAAAAAGACCTACATAAAGTAATGGAAGAATATTTTAGTTTTTAAGTACAAATATACTACTTCCAAATCCATGGAGTAGCTAATTCTTAACAAAATGCTTTCACAATAATAAATATTATTTTTCTTATATAATGTATGTTCCCCGAGGGTTGAAAATAGTTCATTTTCTTAAATTAATGTACCCCTCAGGGTTTTTTTACCCATTTATTTTCTTCATTTTTTTATAGTTAGTGTCAGGATCAATTTTATTTCTTTCTAAAGTTAACTATCACAAAATTTAAATGAGTAGACTGAGAACCAATGTCATTACAATATCATATACAGTTGACCCTTGAACAATGTGGGGGTTCAGAAGGACAGACACCCCCACAGCCCCCACAGTCAGAAATCCCTGTATAGATTCTGACTCTCCCAAACCTAACTACTAATAGCTTACTGTTGACCAGAAGCCTTACTGAGAACATAAATAGTTGATTAATGCTCACTTTGTATGTTATATGCATTATAGACTATATATTTACAATAAGATAAGCTAGAGAAAATAAAATGTTAAGAAAATCATTAAAAAAGAGAAAATATATTTACAGCACTGTGCACATTTATTGAAAAAATCTGCATGTCAGTGGGCCTGCATAGTTCAAAAGTGTGTTGTTCAAGGTCGACTATGGATTATAGTGTCATGGGATTTAAACTAGTTGTGATTGAACATTGTTGCTGCAACTGAATCCAAGTGGCCACTGGAAAAAAATGTGATTTAAAGAGACAGAAAATAGTATGAGACTTCTTAGATTGGGATATTGGCTCCTAAAATGAAGCTTATAATCTAAAGTAAACTGTACTATACAATATAGAGAAAAAGAGTATGAAAACTTTCTCTTTCCTTTTTTCTCCCTTTTTAAATAATAATGGGAATATATGTAAAATTCTAGTCCCTAAAATCGCTCATACACCTAATATTAAATTTTGTAAGTGTGATGTTAGAAATCTTTGTAAGATACAATATAGTGTCTAGGATGTACTGATGAGGAATTACCCATTAACTCATAATTTGGAAGAGGTCCCAAGTTAAGAACCCAATCTTCTATGCATGACCTTCCCTTTTGGTGGAGAGAGGTAGGATGTCCAAACCCAGAACATGGAAGGACCACTAGCTAAATCAGCATGGCTTCAGGTGCCGGGTTGTAGAGGAGCGTGTGAGCATGTAGGCGAACCTGGTCTAAACACGCAGGGCCAGTTAAACGCCCAGCGTCACACAGAGGTACATCATGGCATTAAAAACTGTCTCATTCATTCATTAATCATATATTTATTCCTGTTACCACTGCTTGGGAATCAGAGTCAAATTTTATATAATGTACCATTCCGGACTTTCAAAACATGCCTAAAACTGTTACTTTCAATTTGAGGAATGTATTTTTTTCAGACTGCAACAGCATTGAGTTACCTTAAAATGTGTATTCAGAATGGTTAAATGTCCCAGCAATCTTAAGATTTTCATATATTAAAGGTATTTTACATATTTTCATTCACTTTTTTCCCTCAATATAAGATGTATAATTTAATGGCAACACACTTCATGTAACTCCTACTTTGGTAGCAAGTAACTGGTAACATTACAACAGTTCTGATGGTAATGAGAATCAGACTTCCTGGGTTCAAATCTCAGTCCTACCACTTGTCAGTCTCATAGTGTAGAGCCAGTCACTGGGCAAAGGCCCTCAACTGTAGAGAGGGCGTTATGAAGACAGTGCCACCTCAGGTCGTCATTATGGGACAAGTGAAGCAGTAACACCAAAGTGCCGGTAAAGCACTTGGATGTTTTGCTTGGCACATAGTATTAAAACTGAAGTGTTTTCTACAATGTTTATTATAACAAAACATGACAGTGACTGATGATAATGTAAGCCATCACTAACTTTGGAGCATTAATAAATGCCAAGCACTTACTAAAGTAGATGCTATGCTTATACTGTGTTTAACCCTTAAAATAATAGTAGAAACATTATATTATGAAGAGTGTAGGTCTTTAAAAACATCTTAATTTATAAATATCACCATAGCAGATAATTTCCCCCAAAACATAGCAAAGTGTCATCCAAATGTTTAAATGACCCCTTCATTCCTCTGAGTGATTACTACTTCCAGGATCGTGGTTAGCAAACACTAATGACAATGCAAAAAGTACCTGCTAGTTAATCAGTCTTGCTCACTTATCAACCCTACATAGAATATAATCAAATGTTCAGTATAAGAAAATCATAATTTACTAATATCACGGAACTTTAGGATTACTTGCAGATAGTATTGAGAATGTAAAATCCCTAAAAGTAAAGGATATACTTAATATAGATACTTAAGATAAAGTCATCTGATTAATACATTCAAAGTATTCAACTTTTTTTGAAAACTCTGATGTTAGTTTCTTTATTTTTCATTGTATATATGAACTTATTGCAAAAGTATTAAGATCTTTTGTGCCAAATAACAATAATTATTACCTTGAGTATATAAATATTTCATACATATTTAAAACCAGTATTTTTGTTACTCAGTACACAACTGCTAGTGATGAAGGTTTTTAATGATAGCTTGAAAACCATAAAAAAATTTTATAAATTAAAATTTAATAATGATTTGTATATACTTTAGTTATAAAAAGCATTTCACACACCAAATTAGTCTAAGTTCATAAAATTGTAAGAGTCACAATAAGGGCATTTTAATATTTTGAAAATTATGGATTTGAACTCAGTATTTATATTCACTATGTTAAGAACAATGTTGCTTTATCAATGTAGAAATTATAAACACTATGCATAGAAAATGCCTTGTGCTCCCATGGATTACCAAGGTCTCTAATAGTTCTTTTTTTTTTTAATTTTTATTTATTTACCTTTAGAGGGGAAGGGGGGAAGGAGAGAGAGAGAGTAACATCAATGTATGGTTGCCTTTCTTGCATCCCCTGCTGGGAACTGGCCTGCAGGGAACCGGCCTGCAACCCAAGCATGTGCCCTGACTGGGAATTGAACCTCAATCGTGTGGTTCACAGGCCCACGCTCAATCCACTGAGCTATACCAGCCAGGGCTCTAATAGTTCTTTTAAAATGCAACAAGTAAAGCTTTACTTTCATACCTTACACCGTGATAGAAAGATTCTGGGCATGGTGTATTCTCTTAGAGTCTGACATCATATAAGAAAGTCTTAATAAAATTAAGAGGTTTAGAAAGTATATTTCTAAGTTAAAGGTTGAGTTTTTAAATGGACTCATTTTTTCCCCTCATTTAACCTCATCTTCCTTCCCATCCCCTCTGTCCCTGCCTCTTCCCACCCCGCCACACCCGACACAGCACCTGCCCACCTGGCCCAAGAAAGCCACACCCACTTCAAAGACCCTCGGACAGCACGGACCCCTGGGACTGTCCAGGAGCACAAAGGACCCTGAAGCAGGAGGAAGAGGGTCTTGCTGGAGACCTCAATGGCTCCCTTCTCCCCGACTGACAAAGACACTCTTCAAAAGAGGAAAGCAAGCTCTTTGCCTTTGACATAGAAACTACTTTCTCTGACACAGAGGAACTGAGAACCGAGGACACCAGCTGTGTCTTCTCTAACGTTTCTGTGCGATTGAGAAAATACGACCATGTTTCTTCAGTGACAGGCTTCCTCAATGGAAAGACCCATGATTACAGGTCCTATTGGGAGAAGGTGAAACCAAATGCAATAACATTATTTCAATAAATGGTAGAAAAGGCATGATAATAAACTTTTTCTCTGGCATTTTTTCCATAATTTCCAGGGACAGATTTTACCCTAAAAATGAGTAGTTCGTGTCAATACATAGAGAAACCAGTTTGTGAATGAAGGTCTATCCATTTCCAGCAGCAGTATCTAAGTACAGGCTGATCATTAGTTATTTATATCATGGTGAAAGATTTAGAGGAAAAAATTCTTTTTTTCTTATAGCGTGGAGAACGTTTAGCCCGCCAGTCCTTTGTCTTGCCCAGTGTTCAGAAGCTTCTGCTCCGCTGGTTCCTCGAGGTTCTCTTCATTCCTCTCCAACTGGGGGAGGCGGCTCGCACAGCTTGTACAGCCTAGAAAGGGGCACAACACTGTGTGACAGTGGCCTGACACATGGACAGTACCTGAAATGTTTTTATCAGTATAACAAATACATTAGTATAATAAATGTATTGACAATAATCTCTTGGTTTGTGAGGCATGACCATATTGCCTATTTCACCAAAAATCACATATGAATTAGCGAACTCTGGAATCTCAGCTCCATTGTTGAGAAGACACACACGCCTCTGTGCACACAAGCGTGATGACTGGCTGAGCAATGCTGCTTTTGTTACACTCGCAGCTTCTGCCCCGGTGCCCGCTGCTCTTGCTGGCAGCAAAACTGATTCTCTAAATTCCATGAGATGACGATGGTGTAATTACCATCATGTGTACACCTGTCTCATTGGGGACCTACTGATTTTTCTAACCCGTTGTGGAAATTTGCTTCATTATGTACCATCTGCTGGTACGGGCAGCTGGCTGTGGAATGGCTGCATGGCCAAGTCCTGAATCCTAAACATCAAAGGCACAGTTAGTTGGTTTTCCTAAGATATACTATATTTTTCAGACCCTAAGATGTACTTCCCCACCAAATTTGGGAGGAATAGTGGTTGTTAATGCTGCTGTTGAGTTCTGTTTACATGTACATTGGTGAAATATTATGTTATCTATGTTATTAAATATTTTACCACATTTTTTGCTTCAAAATTTTTTTCCTAGTGTCCTCCTTTAAAACCTAGGTGCATCTTAGGGTCTGAAAAATATGGTATATGCCCAGCTTTACCCATCCTTCTCTCACCTGCCCACAGAATCAGGTGGAGATGCAAGTAGGTCTGGGAATCCAGCTGAATCAGTGGAGACATTGGGAGATGGGAAGATGTTCCCTCTTTGAGTCCCAGGTCAAGTTGCTTGAGACCACACAGCCTTGAGACCACACAGGGAACTGGCCTAGGATTATACAGGTTGTGCTCCATGTCCCCTCACTGCCCCCACCAACGGTGGAATCCTAACTCCAAAACAAAAGGGAACAGAGCTACAGTAGTGTCCATACAGGGCACACCCATTATTTAAAGCTTAGTCTGAGAGATCAGCTGGCTGAAGGTGCCTGGATGTTGGACTCCACCTGTGGTCCTCAGCTGTGCCCACAGCCATGCTGGTTCTCCCTCAGAGTTTGGTCTGACAGTCTAAAAAATAAGGTGCAGGCTCCTGCTTTGCTTTTTTTTAAAGCATTCTAAACCCAAGGGTAAATGAGTTGTTGACAAACTTAGCAAATTAAAATTTTCTTCTCCCTTCAACACTTAGTCCTATGCTAATTCTAAATCAAAGGGAAAGAATGAGAAAGATTTAATATTGGGTTAGAAACCTAGTTCACAAAATGAACTTTCTTAGTCTGGAAACACATAGAAGAAGTTAATGCCCTGGAGGTTTATAAAACATATTTTAAGTCTAGAAGGTGTTTCATGCTCCACATGTCAACTCCAAGGAAGAAAACAAATATTGAAATAAGGATATCTCACATCAGAAAGGCTATTTCATCATTCCCAGGGAAAAGAATATATTAAAATGAGCTGGAAGACCTCAAAGCTGCCTTTTGTTTTTTCCAGCTAAAGGTTATGGCGCTGCTTCAAACTGCGTTCCCGGGGCTGGAATAGCAGGATGATCAGAGAAGTCTTTTGCTCTTGGACGCCTATCCTCTCGTTTCCCAACACGCTGCCTGGCGAGTGGGAAGGTGCAGTGGCTGTCCTCCAGCAGAGCAGACACCATCAGTTGGGCAAAGGCCATCCTACCTGGTGAGATCTGGGCTGAGCCATCACAGTCCTTTGCTTTGAACTACATGTTCCCACAGAACGTAACTAATGCCACTGGGCAGGCGAGTCTTTGAAATGTCTGCTTTGCAAACCAGTGGAAAGGCTACTGCCTATGATCAGCTAATGAAAGAACAGCTCTGGGTACTGCAGAGCTGGGCAAATTCAGCCTCTGTGAGGCTTCTTGGAAGCCACTCACGGTAATCTGAATTCAGACACATTTGTAATGGAAATTGTGGGGCTTTGGGAATTTAGAACAAGCAGATGAAATCTGGAAGTAAAATGTAATAATAAGACTTGGAATTTTACTCTGCATGGAGGCATTTGGTTTGGGGCAGCTAAATTGTTGGGTAATGGCAGTCTTTCTTTGCCCCAAATTTGGCGACCCTTTCTCTTCTCATTCCACTCATGCACAGCAGTGGCCCTGCACAAAAAAAGGTTTGGTCCTGGCTCCACTTTCTTCTTTTCCCGCTGCAGCTGGTATTTCCAGCCCAAATCTAAATCCACAGAGTACAACTTTCAAACTGCAGTCTATAGATCATGCTCTTCATCTTCATACATGGCAAAATACAAGTTGTGTTAAAGGGAACCACAAAGCAAATGTCTCTTCCAAGGCTGAAGTCCAATAATACTCTGCCGCAAGGCAGTTTCCCCATTACACAAACGCTGAAGTGTCTCAGAGGATGAATAACCTGACTGAATAAGGTCACATAACAGGAGCTGGGGCTCCAGCCATCCTGTCACTTTTAACCACTATAGTATGCTGCCTCCCAATTACACGAATAAAAAAATAAAGCTTCCATTACACCATAGTTTACAGATTTTGTAATGCAATAGAAAATAAGACTAGCATGCCCTTCCCCCTGAAATGTAGTATTTAGTTCTTGGTGAAGATATGCTTATTGCTCTGAAGAGCCAATGCATGGAAGGAGGGGGATGAACTTCATTTCTCCTGCTCACACAGGCATCTCCACAGGGATGTCCCATTGATCCTTAGTCTCAATAGTACCACACGGAGTTCCCTATCTGTGCTCTTTTTGCTGTGTCTTCTATCTCAGGGACTAGAACCATTAACCCCTTGTCGCCCAAGCCAAAGATTTGGTGGCCATTCTAGGATCTTCCTTTAACCCATCCTTCTTCATCCAATCAGTGTTCAAAGACTATTAATTCTGTTTACTAAATGTCTCTCTAATCCCTCCTCCCATCTCCATTCTCAATACTATAATCGTTCAAGCTCCTGCCTTCATTTCCATCTTAGCATTCCTCTGATGGATCCTCTGAATGTGGCCAGAGATAAACTTTAAAATTTAAATCTTCCAGATAGAAAGAGTGTTTATTAATACCTCCCTAGAGTCTTCAAGTTAAAATCAAAACACTTCAATATCTCATACAAGTCTCGTCGTGACCCAGCCCCTGCCTATGTTTCCACTGTAACTTTGCATCATTCTTTAAGCACATTCAACCGTCAGTCACAGAGGCCTCTGCGTAGCTCTCAAAGCGTGATGCGTTACGCAGGCCTTGGCCTCAGTGAATCGGCTGCAGGGGACATCTGTTACCATGCTGACCGGGCCAGGGTCGCCCTGCTCCCTCTCCTCTCCCTCCCCAGGCTGAGACATGTGCCCTTACTCTATTCTCATGGCAATCTGTACCTATTTCTGCCACAGTTCTTAACTGTATACTATTTCCATTTTATTCAATGGCTACTCTTTTGTTCACATCAGTAACTAATGCAAAAAACTGTATCTCTAGCTTTTAACAAAGTGTCTGACCTCTACAAATGCACAGCCGAAATTCAATAGATGTTTGCTGAGTGAACTTTTAAAAGTGAAAGAAAGTGGATGGTTTTAGGAAAATTATGAAGAGACTGGTTGGAGATTAGAGTCAAATATTATCTCAGGCAGAGGTAGCAAACTTTATCTCCATGAAGACATCTGCAGAAACATGACCCCAGATTTGCCTATGGGTGGCCTGGCCTTGAGAGCCAAATGTGTTTTTCAGTAAGATGTCTTTGGGAAAGGAATCCTCGTTCCCAGCTGGGAGGGAATCCCAGCCCCTCCGTGGACCTCAGCACTCTTTTACCTTCTACCTAGTCTTATAGTTAAGTTTTATTCATCTCATCTCTTTAACTGAAAGGTCCTTGAGTGATCAGACTATTTCTATGTCATGTTTAGCTTCTCCACAGGGGATAGCAGAATGCTTTGCATTTCTTAGGTCCTCAATACACATTTGTAGAATGAATGAAAGAATAGGTACAATAGAATTCAGAAGTTACTCTAGCTCTCTCTCTGAAGGCTATTATTCCCTTGTAAAAAGAAGTCCACTTTATAACTAGCACATTTCATTGAGTCTTATTTCAAGTGTTTTAAAATATAACCCAATAAACAAAAGAGTGAGTTCATCATTTTCTTTTCTTGTATTCAGTCTTCTATAGGTTTATTGATTAGGATGCTAAAGTCTTATCCTTCTCCACTGTTTATTATTGTTCATAAACTCTAGCTAAGAAGACCTTGCTGAGGTATTATTTTGTTTTCTTATTGTAAATTTAACAGTGCACTTGGTCTATTATCCAAATACACCATCTCTGTTCCAGGTGCTAGAAAGTGAATTCTTCTGCAAATGGTGAGTGATTATTTAGCAAAAGAAAGTCTTAGATTTATCTAATGAACTGTGAAAGATAACAAACAAGACTTGAGGATTAAATAAGGTTAGGAGTCAGCACTAAAAATAAATGCAATTAGAACATGAGTGCTTCATCCATTTTTAAAGGAAAATATGTTTTGTTTTTTGAAAGTACTTTCACTGCCCACACAGTTTTTCAAAATGAAGAATAATTTCATAAATGCTGTGGTTATCATTTTAACTCTGGTAATTGCTTTGTACACAGAAACAAAGAGTGTCTCGTCTGCGGCAGTGCTTGGAGGAGCCTACTTTTTGTTAAAATGCAAATGTATAAAAGCAACCAAATGTAAAAAAATTACCTAATTTTTGCCCTACTTCAGGAAAATGGCTGCTTACCCTAATGTCACCAGGGAAATCAAATTAACAATATTTCTTTGATGGCTATTGCCATGTTCATTTCTTTTAAAGATGGATTAGAATCCTTTCTTATGACGGTATGTAAACTCTGAATATTTGGTTTACTAACAAACAAAATGTTAATTCATTCATGTATTCATTCACCCACCCATTCTTGAAATGAGATATTCATGATAGGCACTATGATGAGCAATGAACAAAATCAAAAACATATTCCTTGCCTCCAAAGAATTCATATTCAAGTTGGAAAAAGGGACACGTAACAATATATTGCAACACAATGAGGGTTATAATCGATCAATATAGAAGATGCTAATGAAGCATACAGAGGCAGGAAACTCAACCAAGACTTCAAGGAACAATTAACAACAAAGTTGGGTTTTGTTGTTAAATAGGAGCTTTTCATACAGATATAGACAGGACACACGATCACGCCAGAGGGAATAAATAGCATGTACAATCGTAAAAGTATAAATGAAAATACATTTTGGTAGTTTGGCCCAGTTGGAATATAAATTTTCACACCAACTGTGTGGAGTTTTGGTTTTGAATTCATAATGAAACCTACAAAATAAAACAATGCCAAGACTTCTGTTTGCTCCTCAGTTTGCTTCAGCTAAAATTCCATTTCACTCTGAGAGCATTTGTGCCTTATCACGTTTCGTCACAAAATGTTTGTTTACAAGGCCAGTTTCTATGACTCCCGTCAGTTCCACCCAGGGCATGGCCTGGAGCAACCGCATTCACTGTGAGCGGCCGCCTGGGAGAGGGTGGGGGAGGGTGGAAGCCCTTTGGCAGGCGTGGAGCAGGGAAGTCACCTACCTGGGAGCAGACTGAGGGGTTCTGTCTCTGACTCCCAGATTCTTCGCGGTGTTCTGAACTCTTGCTCCCTGAAAAAAAAGGTAAGGAAAATCACTCTTAGCTCCCCATTGCATTAGTAATTAATGCAATATACCACTAACATTTGAGTGCAGAACATTTATTCCAACCATGTATTTAACATCAAGGGAGACTGGATGAAGAAGAGAGAAATCATCACCTGAGCAGTTTCAAAATGAATGCTTTGAAGAATCAAAACACGCTGATACACTGTTTAAAGGGATGGGTATGTATTCCAACAGCCATTTAAATCACTTGAAAGGACTTTCAACGACAGCTTCCTGTTCACCGTCTCACCTGTGCCTGTATTCCTAGAATCAAGCACTGCATAAGACAGCAGGAAACGAGCAGGGTGTAAGTATCCGCTGTGCCTCCCCTTCCGTGGAACAGGAACCACAGCTCTACCCCTCTTGCGTTTGTCCTCACTGAATAGTCAGCTATTTTGAACTTTATGGTATTGATCAAGAAAATGGTTTCATTATTTATTTATTTATTTATTTATTTATTTATTTATAGGGTTGTGCAATTACAGTTGTCCTCATTTTCCTCACATTTACTCTCCCCTACCCCACCTATCCCCACCTTCCACATTCCATCCTTCTCTTCCCCACTGTCTTTGTCCACGGGTCCTTTATACATGTTCCTTGATGACCTGTCCCCTTCTTTGCCCCATTATCCCCATCCCCCCAGCTCTGGTGACTGTTAGTTTGTTCTTTATTTCCATGCAGTTCTGAAACAATTTCTGGACAAGGCATATTCACGTAGATTTCTGAAGTGCAAGAATTCTGCCTCAAAATTCTGCCACAAAGACAATGTACTTCAGTAATGAAAAAGTCTTTCCCATCTGTCAAGTTCACGAATGAAGCTATAATCACAGATCAGTTACTAAGGGGAATTAGTTACTACACAGAACGAAACACTGGAGTGTGGGGGTGAGAACAGGTGCAGAAGAGGTATCTGAAGAAAGGTCTGCAACTCTCTCCCCCACCGCATTCTAACCTATGGGAAGGGGCAGAAGGGCCGAAGAAAGGGAGAGAGAAAAAACTCTCTCAGAGTGGGCCAAACAAAGGAAAGCAAACAGAGGAAGGGGCGGGAGGGGGCGGCAAAAAGAGATGGAAAGGAATTTAGAAATTGCTATTAGACAGGTTTTTTTTAAACAAAAAAAAAGCCCTTTATTTTAGACTTTAGAGAAAAGTTGTTTATAAAAGTAGAGCAGAGAATTCACATAATTTTTTATTTGTTTCTTGATTTCCATCCTGATAGACTCGGGTTGCGCTGTAAGGGTACAGCACTTGCCTGCTGGTGTCTATGGGATGGTGACTTGCCTACACAGTGTCCACCAGGACATGGGGCAAGAAGGCATCTTCCCAGGTCCTCGGTCTTAGTGCCCAGTCTAATGTCCTGATACCCTGATGCTGTAGCTAAGGAGCCAGAATTCTCGGAAATCCAAGTTTTTACTAAGATGGTCAAAAAAGGCTTTGGGGGTAGGCTTCTATCAAAGAACACTTGAAATGTGTAATTTATTAGACAAATAACTTTAAGTTTATAATGTTAATAGAAGTGTCTACCCTCAGCCTTTTAGTAATCAGATCTGTTGATTATCCTAAAGATTATTATAATCATTACAAAAAAATGATAAGAAGCACAGTACCCTTCCTTCTATCTTTTATCTTTCCTTTGAATTTGAGCAGTTAATTAAAACAACTATGGAAAGTACATATACAGAATCTGTACATGAAAACTATACTGCAATAAAAAATAAGAATAAATCACGCTGAAAAAGTTCTCCCTAAAAAAGAAATTAAAGATCTTAGAAAAAAATAAATCATTAACCTCAAATATTCTAATCTTTTACTCTCTGGAAACAGTCTCAACGGTTGAAAGGCCAAAGGAATATCTTTCACTACACTTACGTCCCAACTACTTGGATCCCAGGCTGGTAGGAGTTGGCTTGCAGATTGGATCCTAGCCATTAATCCCGCTCCCTAAAACTGCCAAACACTGGTCAGAGGATCAGCAGCAGAAGGACTATTGCAAAGGTCTACCCCAGTTTCTCTAAAGAAAGGAAGGGCCTGGGCTCCATAATCTTTTACAAAGAAGGTAGAAATTAGTATCTGTCTCTCAGAACCACTTAGAGATGTCTTAAAAACTTGGAGCAGACAAACAATCAACAGAAGAAGTCTTAGGGTTCTAAATGTATTTATTTAAAAACAATAGGAAAAAGATGGACTGATAAATACTAAAAATGGTGTGGATTAGAAATCAATAGGGGTTTTAGACAGAACTTTGTAACTTTTTAGTCTTTTTAAATCATATTTTATAAATATATAGTAACATCTATGAATAGAAATATAATATGTATATGTATAATATGTTTTTAAAAGGTTTACACTAGTTAAACAAGTCATTAAGACCTACATAATATTGTTTTAACTTTTTCTATTTTCTCTATCCCCATTTTCAGTCATGAGAATTTTAAGGTTCTCAATGTTTAAGTAAATATACTTAGAATATATATGTAGCCAACTCATAATTACCCCCTTACTAGATTATTATTGAAAGAGGTTAATACAGTCTCTTAATCTGCCATAAACCACAATTTTGAGATGGTTTCTGCAAGTCTGACTGCAAACTTAATCTAAAAGTAACAGAGTGAGCCAGAAAGGTTAGGCCCTTTCTGTATGTTTCAGCACCCAAGCCCCAATCCAGATATGACTAATCACAAGTTTACCTTGGCCTACTTTTTAAAGCTGAATTTGCATATCCCCGCCAAAAAGTTCTTCCTGAACCCGCTGTGTTTACATCTGTATATGCCCTTTTCCAGATGAGCTACAATGTCATGTGCTTCTCATGGATCAAACCTTCATTTAACAAATCCTCTTGGACCTTGTGAGACCTAGGTGTTCAGTCTTCCGGTCTGGGTTCCACAGCCTGAAGCTCCAAAGTACGTGCATCTGCCGTGCCTCACGTCCGTGCGGCAGACCCCAGGCCAGCGCTGGCCTCACTTCTATTCGTTTGTTTGTTTTTCCCCCACCCCTTCCCCAGTCTGTTCCCTGCAATTCACAGAAAGTGACATGTGTCCTTTTCTCTCTCCTTCTCATTAGCCCCCAAACCGCTCCTGCTCATTTTGCCTGGCCAACTCCCTTTTTCCCTCCAGTTAACCTCTTAGACATCCTTTTATCTAGGTTTTCTACATCTCTTGGACATCTGTGCAGTCTTCTTCCCTGGGAGTGTTTCTTATTCATGTCTTACTCTCTGTGCCTGGAAAAATACCCGTCCCATGCAGGCTCCTGTCAGGCACCTGATAAGCAAACAAACAAGCGTTCAAAACCCAGGTCCTGTAGAGCGACTCCCCACAATGGGAGCGAGGCTCACCTGCTTCCGCATCACGTCTGTAGCCTGCATAATGTAGCGAGGAGGCAGTCCGTGGCTTCTGGCCAGAATGATGGCCTGCTCCACCGTCACGCTCAGGGTGCACCTGCATGCAGAGGCAAAGGGGAGTCAGATCCCACCGGCTCCTGGTAAGCACTTCAGGACAGAATATGCCTCCCCCAGATCTGCACCGTGGAGAGTCACTCATCTCCTCTTGGGTGTCTCCCGTGAATACATGATGTATATATGTTTTATTGCACATTTACAATTTAATGTTTTTAAACTTCTGTTTATTTTTTCTTATTAATCTGTCTTTTATTACTAGGGTCTCAGCTAATAACTTGGAAGAGTAGAAGGAAATTTCATTTTCCTCCCCTACACTAATTTCAAAATCAAAAAGCATCAGGCAAAAGAAAAACAACTAAACAATAAACCAATGATTTTTCTACATAGTACCTGTTTAAAACAGATTCTAAAGAGCTATACTGTTGGGGTCCAAAATTAAGTATTTAAATTTAAAACAAACCCATAATGAACTACGTTTATGATAAAGTTTATACACAGAAAATTAAATAAGCAGAAATATAATAAATTCTATTATCAGAGAGCATTATCTACTGATAGTTCATGTAATTTAAAAATGACTTCCTAATATTTTTAATTCATATTTATAAAAATAGATTTATACTGATTTATGCTCCATACCTTAGAAAAGTAAACAGTGAAATTAATATTCACAAAAGATCTGAATCGATGTGAACAAAAGTATGTTTCTTGGACTCAATCTGAAAGACTGAAATTTTCCAAAGGAACCTTTCATTTTAATTAGTTATACAGGAATGTGGTGTCCAGAGCAGCCTGAGAAAATTCAGAACTCAGTTTCTGAGTTCAATGATTGGTGAGCATTGTGTTTTTTTCTTCCCTTTAAGGCATTTTTAAAATTTCTTCTTTTAAATATATTTTATTGATTATACTATTACAGTTGTTCCGTTTTTCTCCCCTTTATTCCCCTCCACCCTGCATGCCCCTCCCACCAGCATTCCCCACCTTAGTTCATGTCCATTAGTCACACATATAAATTCTGTGGCTTCTCCATTTCCCATAAGATTCCTAACCTCCCCTTGTCTACTTATTATCTACCATTTATGCTTCTTATTCCCTGTACCTTTTCCCCCATTCTCCCCACTTTCCCTTCCTGCTGATAACCCTCCATGTTATCTCCATTTCTCTAATTGTTCCTGTTCTGGTTGTTTGCTTAGTTTTTTTTTTTTTTTTAGGTTCAGCTGTTGATAGTTGCGAGTTTGTTGTCATTTTACTGTTCATATTTTTTATCATCTTCTTTTCCTTAGATAAGTCCCTTTAACATTTCATATAATAAGGGCTTGGTGATGATGAGCTCCTTTAACTTGACCTTGTCTGGGAAGCACTTTATCTGCCCTTCCATTCTAAATGAAAGCTTTGCTGGATAGAGCAATCTTGGATGTAGGTCCTTGCCTTTCTGGGCTTCTTTATATTCTTTCACACCTTTCTCCCCAGTAGTTCTTAGAGCCTATGTTTAACAATTTGTTAATAATTTCAGGTGCTAACCTCCAAATTGTTTTTGCTCAAGGGTAATTTCTGTATACATTTAATAACAATGCTCATTATTTTTAGACATTTTTCCTAAAATTTGCAGCAGTAAATATTGTTTTTACTTCATTTTTCAATTTATTATTATTTTGATTACCTTTTCTCCATGTCTGCATTTATCTCCCTATGGTTTGGTGTTTTACACATGTATTTTTCTAGATCTGTTTAGTTTTTCCCTACAAACAAAAGCAAGTTCTATTAACACAACTGCTTATATGCGATGAACATCTAACCCATTTACCCCTGGTTATGAGGTTGTATTACAGAAGTCTAGTATATAGTCTGAGACTGATGAATTAAGGAAAAAAGAAGAAAGATGTTTAAAATGTTACTGCTGTAATTTTATAACTTGACAAAGTGCAACTGCATTATACACATAATTGCATTCTAAGGAGAAACATGTTACGTTCCATTGGCTGTTAAATGACTTGAAAAGCAGCTTCCTCATTAACATTACAGAGAATTCTTTAGAAAGCATTAACAGCACATACTCAAAGGCTAAGGCTTTATAATTAGCTTCTAGTAGTGCACAATGTTTGCAGATACTTAGTGTGTGAGAATGGTAACAGCGTACTTTGTGGTTTTACATGTATCTGCTGCCGTGGGACACAATATGCCCCTGCAGGCCCAGGGTATCGCTGACAGTTCATGTTTCAAATCAATTTTTTACAAAGCATTTAGGTTACTTGACAGACCATAACCTTATTCTCCTTCCTCACATCTCCTCTACTCCAATTTTAAGTCTTTATTGATCCTAACATTTTAATCAATAGTGCTCATTGCACTAGCTGAATACAGCTAAACATATTTATCTTTTTCTAATCACACTGAAATATCAGTGTGACATTTCTTTCGCCAGCATATCCAAAAAGACAGCTTTATCTATATTTGCTTTTCATACTAACTTCTGTATATTACAATTACCATACTTTGCTGGATATAAGGTACACTTTTTTTTGCCCAAATTTTTGAGGGAAAAATAGGATGCACATTATATATACATGGGTAGTACTAATTCTGTACCTAATTCTTTTATTTATGCTTATGTGTTAAAAGTGTAACTCTAGAAATCAATAACAATATCCATATGCAAAATAATTCCCTGGGATATGATCATTGTTTTATGTATAAATAAAAAAATTGAATTAAAAAACTAAAAAGAAAAATTTTTCCCCTGAAAGTCTGGCCCAAAAACATGGGTGTGCTTTATACGTCGCAAATACAGTAGGTCCTTAGACTAATTTACACTTGTTTAAAAGAGAGACGTTTTATTTAAGTTAATTTGTTGTTCAATTACATTTGTCTGCATTTTCTCCCCACCTCTCCCCCCAACCCCCTCCAAACCCACCTCCCTCCCTTGCTTCCACCCTCCCCTTTGGTTTTCTCTACGTGTCCTTTACAGTAGTTCCTGAAAACCCTTCACCCCACTGTCCCCTCCCTGCTCCCCTCTGGCTATTGTTAGACTGTTCTTAATTTCAATGTCTCTGGTTATATTTTGTTTGCTTTTTTCTTTTGTTGATTATGTTCCAGTTAAATGTGAGAGCATATGGTATTTGTCCTTTGCTGCCTGGCTTATTTCACTCAGCATAATGTTCTCCAGTTCCATCCCTGAAACCCCAATCCAAAAGAACCTATGCATCCCAGTGTTTACAGTAGCACAATTTACAATAGTCAGGTGTTAGAAGCAATCTAAGTGCATATCAGTAAATGAGTGGATCAAAAAACTATGGTACATTTACACCATGTAATACTACGCAGCAGAGAGAAAGAAGAAGCTCCAACTCTTTGCAACAGCATAAAAGTGAGACATTTTAAAAGACCTAAGCAGGTCAACGTGGGACACGTTGCCTATATCTGACTCACGGCATCTCAGAAGTCCATTTCCTAAATTAAGCTCCTGAAAAAAAACCTAGCCCTCAGTCCACCACTTCATGGTCAATACGTCATTATTTGCCTCATAAGTTTTTATCATCTCTCAACTATCTCAATCTGAATACCAGATGAGAAAACTCAGTACTTGCAAGAAACACTTCAATGTGGGCATTCTCTGAAAAATTCCACGTCCCCAAAGTGGCACATGGTTTTTCCAGTGGTGCACTCATGTATACACAGAGTTAGGTTTTATGAGAGAAGATTTGATTTTGTAGGTAGTTCTCTGATTATCAGTGAAACTGATCTGTTTACCCTGGTGGGGCATGAGAGTGAAGGGAGTATACCAAAGGCCAGCATCCTAAGCAAATTCCATTCAGTACGAGATTTCCTGTCTGACCTACCAATTTCTTTTCTAGCACAATCTTTGTTCTAACATTAGATAGGGAACTAAAATTCAAATAAATCTGTATTTTTACCCCATCCTGAAAAATATCAACCTTTGATTTTTCAGCTCCTTTCTAGCTACAATACCACTTAAAAATTTTTGGACAACTGTTTTCTTGGGAGTAACAAAAAAAAAAAAGTCCAGAGTAGAAACTGTTCTTTGTAAAAAGGCAAATACGACATATGCATTGAAGAAAGTTGTTCCATAATATTAGTAATAAAACATTCCAAGTAGTGGCTCTGCCTAGGACACACTCCTGAAGAAGTGTACTTAGCAGGGTTGCAAAATTATGCAGAACTCAGTAATTTCCCCATAGAAGGAAAAGGCAAGGGGTCAATATATCTGTGCCATAACGAATACATCTTCCTGACATATTTTGTATTAAGAATAGATCCCATATCACTCACAGATATAGCATATATTTACTATGTAAACATAACCTGCAGCTCATTGGTCCAATTTAATTTGAAAAGCACTTTGATTTAGCAACGCTGTGGAATAGTCATAAAGTTGTCCCTGTGTGTTGATCTACCCATCCAACCATCCAACAAATATTTCTGGGTGCCTACTTTGTACCTACAAGTGCCGTTAGGTGCTGTCAGAAGTGGATTTACTATCAAAATAGAAAAGTTGAGTTTTGGTGTCCCTTACTTGCATGGAACCCTAGGAACCTGTTGACATAGTCACGTGCTTTTAAAAACTCACAAAAGCAAAATGTTTTAATTGGACCAACTGTTGCCACCGTTGCCTTTTAATATCCCAACTTCACTCTGGCATGTTCTGTAGTGCTCAGGCTATGGTTATTTCTGGAACTAAGCTAAATGAAGTAAATTAAGGGTGCATGTAGATTAGGTTTACTGGGACCTATGTATGTAATTCAGTCACTTCCATTTACAGTTAGGTTATTATAATATTCTCCTGCAGGAATGGATTCTAGGGTATTCCTACTGCCCACTATACAAATTCACCTAGTGATGAAAAGGAGGTGCAGGACCACAGGTTGTAATGAAACACATTCACATCTGGGGCACCCAGCACTGTAAGTGTGTGTGTGGAGGAGGGGAAATAAGTTTGTAAATGTGACGAGCAAGAAGTGTCCTAATGTCATTTACATTGTTCTTTGCTACTGAGTTCATTTAGTAAGTCTGTCCATGAGTTCA